GGAAGGAAGGAAGGAAGGAAGGAAGGAAGGAAGGAAGGAAGGAAGGAAGGAATTACATCCCTTTCCAGACTTCCTTTTCCTTGCTGATAAAGCTATTTACTTGTGAAATATTTATAAATTATTTCTACAGCAGTTGTTTTTATCCTCAGTGTCTTCAGAATAACAGAGCTGCTGGCATCCTCTGGAACTGGAGGATGTTGTGCACTCATACTGGGACTAATGGCAGCAGCACTCAAAACCATTTTACAATGCTAATTACAAAACCAGCAAGGATCCAAAATGAGCCACACAGCTGTCTCTAACCAATACAATTTTATTTATAAGCAGGGAATGGTTTTAATTTAACTGATCAAATCCTCCACTCTGTAGGTGAAGGCACTCAGTGAATCCCAAACAATTTAGAACAGGTAGAACCAAAGTGTTACAGCGAGATGCACTTACAGAAATTTCTTCTCCTTCAAGAAGCTCTTCAACAACAACAGTTTCCCCAGCTGTGCCAAAACTCTTATCCTACAGTGAAACAAAATCCCTTTAGTTCTGTTTCAGTTTTAAACTACTGAAACTGCAACAAGAAATAGGTATTTTTAATACAGCCAAAAATGCAGCACAGGTTTGAGATCATGAATCCATTCTCTCCCCCAGGGATGTCAGCAGTGGTGAAATCCCTACTCCTCTCTTAATTCTTAAATAAATGCAGGGTTTATTAGTGAGTATTTTGAAATGACAGAGGGTATTTGTGATTACTGAGCAATTCCTCATGCTCTGCCTTCTGAAATTCACCCCAACACCACTGACAGCCAAGTCTCCAGTGTGCACTTCCACTGGATAAAAAGTGCAATTTTATCCAACACCTGGGAAAGGAGCAAGATTCTCACATCCCAGTGCAATATTTGAACATTAACTGCATATTCTGGATAATTAAGAAATTAAGAACAAGCAGCCCACACTGACAAGGTGATTTTGGGGGGGTCTAAAATCTCTTTTGGGGGGGTCTAAAATCTGAAATCTCTAACTCAGGTGTTTTGTAGAAGACATTGGGCCCTGCTCAGACATGAACTGTGCAGTGACCACAGACCCCCAAAATGTGGCTGCAGCAGCCATGCCCTGAGCCCTGAAGCACAGGTGTGTCCCAGAATGTGTCCCATGGATCAGCAGAGCTCCGTGGAATCTCAGGGTGCTGTGCTGCTGACACCAGCTCAGGGCCTGACCTGGGAGCCTCAGCTCTGTGCTCCTCACTGGGCAGATAAAATTACTTCACTTGGCCTCACTTCAAATCCTGATGCTCCAAATACATTTGTGGAATATCCTTCCCCAGCATGAACTTCACTGGAAATAATCCCAGCAGAATGTGGCTGCACATTGAAGTGCTGGGCTTGGTCCTAATGGGGCTTGTGAAGATCCACCTGAATCACTGAGGAGCTCAGTGTGGGACCTGATGGATTGCAGGAGTCTCACAGAGTGAAAATAAAAGGAATTGCATATATAAATCAGTGAAATAAGGGTGAGTTTTCATGAAGAATGGTTTTATTGTAGCCTGCACGAACTGCACCTCAAGCCATAAATAAATCAGCTGGCCAAATAAAATGGGAAAAGGTCTGATGTCTGACAGCCACATTCCCATTCCATGCACTGAGGAGTATCTGTGATGCCCTGAGGGGTGAGGAGCTGCTTTGGGGTCAGACCTTCCTCCTCACCTGCATGATGTCAGTGACAGCCCTGCAGGCCTCCTCCTTGCTTGAAGCCACGATGACTCCTTTGCCAGCTGCCAGCCCGCTGGCTTTGACAACCAAAGCAGGGAAGGTGGCACTGCCAAGGCAAGCACAGACATTCAACACCATCCTTGCAGGGACATTCTGAACATTTCCAGAGTTGAAAAATCAAAGTGCTTCTCAGTTTTCATGGCAACCTTATTGGGTAACACACAGATCACACCAGGCTCCTCTCGTTATGCTCTGCCTGAGAAAGGTTCCTGCCTCTTTTCCCCACCAGGGAATTCCCTGACTGCTCATTACTGATTTCCATTTGGGAATTTCATCTGGGGTCACCTGGCTTGCACTGTGATGAGCAGATCATCAGTTGCTGAGTAATTCTCCAGGTTTTTTTGGTGGAGAAAAGGGCTAAGAAGCCAGCACAGATGGCTCTGGGCTGCTCCCTGCCTTTCCCCAGCAGGCAGAGTGACAAAAAAATAACAGCTTGTCCTACATTCTCCTGTGAACTGAACACTGAGCCTGCACTCCATTTTAGAGCAGGAGGAACCATTTCTCTCAGGCTTGCTGCAGTTTGAGAGAGTCATGGTAGGTGATCCTTTGAAACCTTTGCAGATGTTCTATCCCAAAGGCATGGATACCTGGCAGTCCTTGGATTGGTTTGGATATTTACAGTGTCAGTAAGAAAATGTGTAAAACGACCAGAACTGTACCTGTTGATGAAGGCACATGCTGCTTTGGGATCAGTGAAGGATTTCCACCTGGCAGTGGGGATCTCATGACGATCCAGAAAGGCTTTGGTGAAGCTCTTACTGGACTCCAGCTGAGCTGCCTTTGCTGTGGGGCCAAAACACTTGATCCCAGCTGCTGTCAAGTCATCCACAATTCCTAAACACAAAACATGTCATCAATCTCCAGGTGATTTATGGGCGTCAGGCCAGCCAAGCTGCACTGATTCCTTGAGCAGGAATGCCAGGAATAGAAGTCACCCGTGTCTGCAGTGCCTGCTCTGCTCACTGGAGCCAGGAGCAGCAACCCTGCAGCACTGCAGCCCCTCAGGATGTGCTGCCTTTGGGAAGGGATGGCAATCCCCCCTTGCTTTATCACACCTTTCAGCTAAAAGTCAACACGAGTCTTTGGTGAAGATGCCAAAAGGTTTAAGCAGAAAAAACTACCAGCATGTTTACAATTAGGTTTTTTTAGCAAGACTCAAATTGTAATTATTTCAAACCATGAAAACTCCACAGGAAAACCAAAACTGGCTTTCCTGCTCACACACTACCCTTCAGAAATTCCTTTTCACCTCAGCACAACTCTGGATTTCAGGGAAACTGCTCCAGAGGATCTGTTTCCATTTAGACACTGCTGAGTGATGCACAGATGAGGACTAAAATTTACTTTTCTTCTAAATGCTGAAGGCTGTGCTTTCCAGCTTGTGTCTCTTACCAGCAGCAAGAGGAACCTCGGGCCCGACCACCACCAGCCTGATGTCCTGGTCCCTGCAGAACTGGGCCACAGCAGCGTGGTCACTGACTGGAACAGCTGTAGGGGACACAAACAGGGAGAGACCCCACCCAGGGGTGCTCCTCAGTGTGAGGTACCCAGAGCACCCCCAGCCTCCCTTTCTGGGAGCCTGGAGGGGTGGGTGAGCCCCACACGGACACAAAGCACAGCCCCAAAGCCCAGGCAAAGGCTCTGGCTGCACATCCCCTGTCAGAGTCCCAAATCACAGAATCCCAGAATGTCCTGAGCTGCAGGGACCCCCAGGGTGTTGGGGATGAAACCAATGGCTGGTGGTAGAATTACAGCTCATCTTTTTTCTTTTTTTTTTCTTTCTTTCTGTGGTGCTACCTAAAAATTGCACTAAACTGAGCCCTCTGGAAGCAGGGGGAATCAGAACTTTTTGTTTTCCAATATTTTAAATTTAATTAAGAAGGGCACTGCGCTGTCATTATGGCTGAGGATAGGTGGGCTTGGGCTGTTACAACCATTATCTTTCCAAAACCAAACATTCAGTGTGATGACACTTGGAATGGCCCAAACTGTGCAAACAAAAGAAACGTCCTGCACCAAAGACAATAATGTCACTTACGCAAAAGGCCCTGCAATTGCAGAGCTTTTATCACGAACAAACAAAGCCAAGGTCTGCAGGGATGGGAGAAAGGAGATGAGCCCAGTGGGGATTGGCTGCCTGGGCAGGGAGGAGACTGCACCCACCAGGGCACGGGGCTGCCAAAGGGAGCACAGGATCCCAGATCCCAGGGCTGGGAGAGCCCTTTGGGACCACCCAGTGCCACCTGCAGCACCCAAACCCTGTCCCCAAGGCCACCTCCAGGACACTTCCAAGGCCTGACCACTCTGGCAGGGAAAAATGGTTTCCAATTTCCAATCTGACCTCCTCCCCTGGTGTAATTTAGGCCCATTTTCTCTTGTCCTTTCCCCTGGACATGGCAATACACTGGGAGCTGATGGTCTCCTCCAGCCATTTTCTGGGGAGTGATGACAGAGGAAGGGGGTGACAGGATTTTGGTCAGTCCCACTGTGCTCCCCCTGCTCTGGATGAATAAATTTGTTGGGAGTTTGGCTGGCTAAGGACTGGAAAAGTACAAAACCATGGCTAATTCCAAGTCCTGCACTTGCATAGATAGTGTGTCCTTGCTATAGTATAATAACAAACAGTGAAAGAAACATGAGAAAAGAGAGATGGAACCCCTAAGGAATGAGGAAGAGTTAATGCTATAGTTTAACCAATAGATTGCTTGGCTTACAGAATATTCATAAGCTTATTATTTGCTGTATAAGTGTTTGATGCTTTCTTCAATAAACTGGACCTGTGATGAACCAGCTGGTGTCCTGGTCCCCTTCCTAGGCCATAAATTCATAGAATCATTGAACTCCAGGCTTGTTTGGGCTGGGAGGGACCTTAAATCCCACCCAGTGCCACCCCTGCCATGGCAGGGACACCTCCCACTGTCCCCAGTGTCCAGCCTGGCCTTGGGCACTGCCAGGGAACAATTCCTTCCCATAAAATTTCCTGATTCTACAACAGAATCTACATTTTGTTATAAACTGACGCTATTTTGTTATAAATTTACCCTGTTCAGGTGGGGTGGTGAACACCCAGACAGAGCACAAATAAAATTCACCTCCTTGGCACCTCTTCCACAGCCCAAGTGTTTTGTTCCTTGCCTCCCACGTGCAGCTGATGCCAGCTGACTTCTGGCTCCCCCAAAAGCACCACGCACCTGTGCCAGCCCAATATCCCAATACCTCCCAATTCCCAATATCCCATCCAGCCCTGCCCTCTGGCAGTGGGAGCCATTGCCCCTTGTCCCTCTCCAGGCAGGAAAGGAGAGAGCCTGGAATTCACCCCGGGTTTCTTTCTGCAGGTCAGATGTCAGGGTATGAGCAGTGAGTGTGGCACAAGATTTGCACAATGGAGAAATGTCCTAACAACAAACAGGAGGGAACAAATTGTGTTGTTTATCCTTGATTTTAATTTTCCTCCCGAATATCTTTTTTCTTGGGTTCCTGGCTGAAAGGGGACATTTCTGTAGCTGTGTTTGACTGCTTGAAACAACAGCTGAACATCCCTTTGGAACCTGACAGGAGGACCCTGGCCCAAGGATTTCAAGGGTGGAGGTTAAATTTCAGAGCAGAAGTTAAACAGAGAGGTAAAATGTGACAGAAGGAGGTGTCAGCATGGTGAACTCCATTCACAGACACATCTGTTCCTTCAGCAAGCCATTGTCTGTGCTTCTGCACCAAAACTGCCCTGATCATCCACCTAAATTAAATATAAACCTGTATTTAGGCACCCAAACTAAATCCCACTTTATTGCTGGAAACAATTACCAGCTGAGATCAACCACAATTTTTTTTCTTACTTGAATATAAAGTTTGAAAGATTTAAGGTTATTTATAATTTCCAGCTCACTTTTTTGTGTTTCAGTAATCACCCAAGACCCAGAGCTGCAATCCTAATTAAAGGCAATTCCATGACCCACAAAGGGAGGATGAACTCTCAGAGCAAAATCTCGATGATACCAAAAAACTCCCAGAAAGCAGGGAAGGAATTTCCCAGATATTCCCAGATATCCCAGGTGTTGTTGCCCACACAACATCTCAAGGCTCATGTGCTTCTTTCTGACAGGCAATTCCCCATTTTCCACCCCGAGTTAAATCAAGGCCCCGCTGACAGCACTGGAATTCCTGAACAGCTGAGATAAATTCTTTCCTTAAAAACCAACATAAGTCAAACTCTTCATAAATTCTAGGCCCTTCCTGGGGTGGTGAAGATTTCTCTCCCAAAGCACAGGTGAGCCCATGTGCAGAACAAAACCATTTATTCCACATGGAAATTTCACAGACCTGGCTCGAGATCAAGCATTTCCCACTGCTGGTGCAATGTTTTTGATGGGATGAAAGAGAGAAAAACCCAGGGGGGATTTAAAAGGGTACAGCTTGAAAAAAACCACTTGAATTCCCATTCCACAGGCCCTACAGCCTGGCACTGACCCCATTTAGCACAAGGGTAAAGTGGATTTTTTGACTTTCTGATCTTGTCAAGCTCTTCTTTCCACACCTCCCCTCAAAGGCCAAACAGAGCACAAAACTGGAGTGAGGAGCTCACTCATGAAGCTGTGACTGGACAAAGAAATTCAGGACAAGGTTGTTTCAAAGGCCTGTAATTAAGTATTCCAAGGGAATTCTGTTTGATAATTCCCTGCTGTACAAGGGCCTGGCAGCACTCACATTTCCATGAGACAACAAAACACTCCCACAGCAGCACAAGTGCACAAAATGGAAGTGTCTGATCCACATTCACGTGAATCCTGAGTTACCTTGAACTCCACATCTGACACACGTTCTGAGGGGAAAACTGAAGTTTTGGGGAGGTTAAAGCCCCTAAATCAGGACCTGTTGTGTAAAGGACACAGGAATCTCTGTGGTCTGGACTGGTTCTCTGTCTGTCAGCACCTCAAACCAGGCTTTTTTGAAATGCAGCTCCAAATTTTGGATGCTCAATTTGCACCATCTGAAGCTTGATTTCTCAAAATTCCTAACTATGAAAAGTCTCAATTACAGCCAGTCAGAGCTCCAGCCAGGCAGGCAGCACACAGAGAAATATCTGAAGATAACCTTGATTTCTTAAGGTCACAAAGACAAAGGAGTGAATTATGCTCCCAGTGACAGAGTGTTCTTGTCACAGGCTGTGGGGATCATGGGGTTCCAACACAATTCTGAGAGCACAAGAGGGAATTTAGGTGGAACCACAGCAACGATCCTCAGCTGGATCCCAGAGGAACAGCTCTGGCAGAATCCTCCAAAGCCAAACCTAAAGAATGACACTTCACAGCTGAGACCTTATAAAATTAACTGCACAATTTACACAAGGCTTTGTTCAAATATTTTTTATCTTATTAACTGCATCTAAAATCTATTTCACATGCCTAAAACCTCAAAAAAATGATAATCCATTATCATCATCCATCATCAGTTTGTTTATGGGTTATGTTGATTTATAGGGTGTTGTTTTAAAGATGAGTTGGTTAAAGGTAAAAGTTTTTATTATTTATTTCTAAAATAAGTTATTTTTTGGGAATAGAATTTTTTGTGGAGGGTATAGGATTTTTTTTTGTTTGAATTTTTAATGGGATTGTAGTTATATACATTAACCAATAAATCTTAAAATTTAAAAAAAAAGTTTTAATTAGCTTTTTTAGTTTTTCACCTAGCAAAAACTAACAGTAAGGTAAGGACTAAGTCTTTTGTCCTTGGGTGTGTATGGCAGCCATCTTGACATCTTCAGTGCCAAGCTCTGAAGATGTCAAGATCTTCTTTTTATAAGCTACAAGAACGTAAAATTTGATGGGTGATTGGTTGATAATTTATGATAATGGTTTGTATTTTTGTTTGGTTTTTTTGCGGGGGGTTATTTTTGGGGTTGGTTCTGGGGTGGTTTTGGGGTGGTTATGAAATGATGATGACAGTTGGTCATTGTTTTTGATACTAGGAAATACAGAGGAAGGTAAAGTATTGATGATAAGTGATTTGGATAATGCAGGGATATATGGTTTAAATATTTAATGGAAAAAAATAAAAAATGAATGTGTAAAATAGGATTTAAATATCAGTTCAGCAAACCAAATTGAATTAGCGAACCAAAACCGCTATACAAAAATTAATATTTCCACTCGGCTTCAAACTAAAACCACCACAATCATCACCATCATTATTTCATTATCATCACCATCATCATCCTTTCACACTACCAGCTGTGATTTCAGCTCAGCAACATCCTGGTTGAATGATCCAATTTAAAATGGGTATAATTTTGTTTTTACCTGAATTGGAGATTTTGCCGTTGTCAGCCGTGCCTGCATTTCCTGGAGCCACAAACACGTGTTTGACGTGGGGGGACTGGGCCAGCTTCCAGGCCAGGGCGTGCTCCCTGCCGCCGCTGCCGACCACCAGCACCCGCTCTGCCATGGCCCTGCGGGACACAGGAAACACCTGGGCTCAGCTGGGAACGTGGGGACAGCAGGAGCTCCAAGGACCATACAGTGCTGGGGAGCTTCATCAGATGCACCCTGAACTTCATCAGGTACACAAGGAACCTCCAAGGCTGAGCTGAGCCAGAGCACGGCAGGAACCCGGCAGGAAAACCATCCTGCGTCTGACTGGAAACTGCTCCCACTTACAGAAATCTGGGATAGAGGACAAAACCCTGCAGAGTGAGCAGGCTGGGATTTGCAGCCCAGAGAATCACAGACTCCCAGAAGGGTTTGGGTTGGGAGGGACCTTAAAGCCCATCCAGGGCCACCCCTGCCATGGCAGGGACACCTCCCACTGTCCCCAGTGTCCAGCCTGGCCTGGGACAGGGATGGGGAGTCCACAGCTGCTCTGAGCAACAAGTCCTTGGAGATTCCAAACCTGCAAAGGTCAAAGCCCTTCTGCTACACCCATGGTATGAACAGAGAGTGTCTGGTGCTGGTTGAGGCCACTCAAGAGATTTTAGAGGCAATGACTGAAAATCTCTGAACACCTCATGGAAAGGAAAGGCTCCAAGCAAGGAGACAACACAGTAACTTCCAGCTCTGGCTTTCCTTGGAGAGAACAACCATGAGGCCAGCAACAGGTGGAATTCATAAAGGAGCTCACTCACACAAGGTAGAGTGGGGTATCCACTGCACTCTCCCATTGCAGTGAGGCTTGGAAAAGCACATGGACACTGTGCTGGCCAGCGGGAGCAGGGTGCCCACGTCATCCCCTGGGTGTGCACACCTGGCTTACGCACGTGGGGCTCACAGCAACAGGACAGCGTGTTCTCTGAGAGCCAGGAAACCTCTGCTCCCTGCGAGTCACTGCTCTGTGTGTACTCTCACATATTGACTGATGGAGGAGTTCACCTGCACTGAGAAATCCACCAGAATTCAGAAAACAAGGAAGGATTCCAGGAAGGATTCCAGGAAGGAAGGAAGGACATCATTTATAAACTAATTATGTATGTCCATATTTGGAGCTAAAATAATTGTTTGGTTTGGATTGGGACAGACCTTTAAGTTCATCCCATTCCAACATGCCTACCATGGACAGGGACACCTCTCACTGTCCCAGTGTCCAGCCTGGCCTTGGGCACTGCCAGGGATGCAGGAATGGAATTCCGTGCCAGCCCTGCCCACCCTGCCAGGGAACAATTCCTCATTGCCAGGATCCCACCCAGCCCTGCCCTCTGGCACTGGGACCATTCCCAGCTGGGTTTGCACAGGGATCCCTGCCAGGGATGGCTCTGGAAGGAACCTGGACACAGGGAGTGAGTCCTGAGGGCATGGAACTCAAATCACAGGGGGAAGGCAGAGGGAATCAGAGAAAAGGATTAACAAAATCTGGATTTGGGTTGGGAGGGACCTTAATAAAGATCTTCCAGTGCCACCCCTGCCATGGCAGGGACACCTCCCACTGTCCCCAGTGTCCAGCCTGGCCTTGGGCACTGCCAGGGATGCAGGGGCAGCCCCAGCTGCTCTGGGCACCCTGGGCCAGGGAACAATTCCTCATTGCCAAGATGCCCTCAAATCCTACTTTGAAGCCATTCCCTGGGTGCTGTCGCTCCATCCCTGTCCCCAGTCCCTCTGCAGCTCTCCTGGAGCCCCTTCAGGCCCTGCCAAGGGCTCTGAGCTCTCCCTGCAGCTTCTCCTCTCCAGGTGAGCCCCCCCAGCTCTCCCAGCCTGGCTGCAGGGATCAGCTCCCATCTCCCACTGCTGGGGGAGGAACAGAGCCCAGAGCAGGGTTCAGGACAGAAGGAGCCAGGAGTGCCCCTGGTGTGATCCCAGCACACACAACACAGAACCAGGCTCACCCTCCTCACACCGCCGGTCACTGACCCGCCCGTGGCCAGGGCCCCGGGGAGCTCAGAGTCCCCTGAGCAGGAGGGCAAGAGGGGATGACAACAACACAAAATACATCTTAGAAAAGGGGAAAAAACAACACAAAATCCAGGAGATTTCTAAGGGAAAAACAAAAATGATCCAAAGCAGATGTTCAGGTGAGGCAGGGATGTGCCCTGCCCTCACATCAGCTGCTGCAGCTTGACCTGACTAAAGCTGCCCTGATGAGGGAAAATATTTGCATTAGGCAAAACATCCCAAGAGAATAAAGTCAAAATAAATGTGGAGAGAAGGACAAAATAGAGAAAATGAACACTGAGTTGTTTGCTCTTAACTAAACATGCCAGAGCTAATATCTAATGGTAGTTCCTTGCTGGGGGAGACCAACAGGCTTCTAATCCAGTGTTGAGTCAAATGTAGATACTGCAGAGTTACAGGCATGTTTTAATTATAAACCTCATGATTACTTGCAATAAAAATGCTCAGGTTAGGCTAAAAATTATCAGTTATGGTAGAGATGTTTGAGAAACCACATGATCAATTCTTTTATATTACAACTCAAGCAAGAAGGAAAGGTAAAAGAATGAGGGATAGAACAAAGGGGTGAATTAGATAAATACAGTAATATAACAGTAAGGTAGAAGAGCACTGATCACACAGCAGGCATGGTCTCTGAAGTCAAATGAGCATTGCCAGTGGCCACTCAACTGTACTTTTTAAGGCAAATTTTATCAAGAATAAGTTGAACTATACCCAACGTGATTTTCCGAAAAAAAAAAATTTAAAACTTTTAACTTTTAAAATGTTAAGAAATTTAAATTTAAAAATGTTAAAACTTTAAACCAGGATGATTTTAAACTACTCACTGTGTGCTGTGTGTAGCAGGCTGAGTGAGGAGAGCAGGACTCAGGAGCTCAGAGGCACAAAGAGAGCAAAGATTGGCAGCCCCTGGTTAAAATGTCCCTGTCCCAACCCTCCCGCCCCACTGATGACCCTGCAGGCAGCCAATGGAAGGGACTCCAGCCCTTCCAGCTGGGGACAGGGGACACAAACTTCCCTACAAGTGCTCTGGGAGTGAGAGGCAACAGGAGGAGCAGCTCATCCTGCTGTTTCTAACTTCTGTCTCATCCCAGGTATTCTTTTTTTATAGTTAAAAGCTGTTCATTAAGCAGCTTGTGAACATTCTCTTTATATCTAAAAATCAGGATCTGCACTTTTGCAATAAATAAAAATTAGTGTATGTGATCAGCAGCATGATAAATAGGGGGTATGATGCACATGATCATGGAATGTTTTGGGTTGGGAGAGACCTTTAAATTTCACCCCATCCCACCCTGCCATGGCAGGGACACCTCCCACTGTCCCCAGTGTCCAGCCTGGCCTGGGCACTGCCAGGGATGCAGGGGCAGCCCCAGCTGCTCTGGGCACCCTGTGCCAGGGCCTGCCCACCCTGCCAGGGAACAATTCCTCATTGCCAAGGTCCCATGCAGCCCTGCCCTGCTTCATCCTAAGGCCCTTGTGAAATTCAGCACAGCCTGCAGACCCAGTGACACCATGGCCACCTCAAGGGACTCACCATGATGGCAACTCACTCCAAGAGCCACCTCCTTGTCCTCCCTGAAGTAACACATTCTGGCACTACTGTCAGATGAAAGAATTCATCACACACAGGACAAAGCTTTCTGTAGGAGCAGTAAACAGAACAAGCCATGTCTGCTATTGTCAAATAATATTTGATCATTTTATATCAAAATGTGAGTGAAGATTAGGTTTCACACGTTTGTTTTGAAGCTCAGTGTTATTTGTGCATCCCACTATGGTATCCTAGCAACTTTTATTTAGGAATGTGCCTTGAGAAGAAGTTGTGGTGGCAGTGCCAGTTTAGGAGGCTCAGATGTAGCCATGGCAGCCTCTGTTTTATTTTACACTGACACTCAAAGATGTCATGGAGGCCCCTCTGCTGCCCAACAGGACCTCACTTTAAAAATGAAGATCCCAAGAGGCAACATTCTTTTTTATTTTTCTGTCACTAATCCAGCAGTCAAAAATGTGTTTCCTAAAGAGCTAAAGTCATTCACAAGGTAGATATTTACTCTCTGAGGATTATCACACCCCCAGGATTTCTGGAAGCAATGTGTGAAATCCCTAATGATTCCAAACCATGGGATGTCATTACCTTCTGCACCCATTGCCTGCTTTGGTAAAGAAGGAGGAGATGTTTGTTTAAAAGATGCTTTAACATGAAGATAAGGGACATTTCAGAAGAGGCTCTGTTGTTAGATCCTTATATGAAGTGAGAGCAGGAAAGAAGAAATGAGTTAATCACTCGGTGTGTCCAGGAGGAGAGGAGGCAAGGACAGAGTGGAGCCAAGGAGATTCCCAGAGCTTATCCAAAGTCAGCAGGCAGGAGCAGCAGCTCAGAGACCTTTATCCTCAGTGCAGGGAGGCAGCTGGGGCTCACCAACACACCAGGCAACTCTTCCTCACCAGCAGGGCCTGTGGAGCAGAGAAAATCCAGTGAGGGAGGCAAAGCCCACAGTCCTGAGAGCCCTCCCAGCCCAATTCCTGCACAAGCAGGCTCCAAACACAGGGAGCAGTGACATCAGGCTGCTCAGGCTGTCCCTTCCTGTCCTATCCCAGGGACAGGAGCCACTGACCCTCCCAAACTCACCCTGTGCACACACCTGGGGGTTACACTCAGCTCCTTGTCTGCTTTATGAACAGAACTCTCTAAGAAAACATAAACTCCTTAAGCAATTCATTCTCAGGTGTGATGCAAGATACCTGAATATTCAATCTCAGCTGGGTGGAGTATTTTAATGAGGCAGTGCCTTATCAGCTCACCTCAAACTACAGCAGGAAAGGTACAACTGTAATCAGACCTCTGCACTCCAGCACAAACAGCAAAACTCACTCCTTCACACAGTGTATTTTTTTTTTAATTAAGCTCCAGTGCTGTTGGTTTCCTCTGTATCTTTGTTTCCCAACACTGGGATTCAGGAAATCTGATGCAGGCATCCAGGTTTTTTTAGATCAAAGACATGGTCTTTGCCCAGAGTGTCTTAATTCAGGACCAGGTTGGACAGGGCTTGGAGCAACCTGGTCTAGTGGAGGGTGTCCCTCAACAGAGCAAGGAGCTGGAACTGGATGAGCTCTGAGGTCCCTTCCAACCACCCTGGGAGGGAATGAACTCCTGCCCTTGTGAGAGCTGAGCCTGAAGAACAGCCCGGCACTTTCCCAAACACTACAGACCCAAGCCCAGTGTCACTGTGAAGGCTCAAATCCACAACTCGCAGCGCTGGAGAGGAGCTCTCATCACTTGGCTTTGGACTAAAGGACAAGGTTCATTCTTCCTCTTGCAGTTAGGCAGAAGAAAAAGAAAAATTCTCACAGGAGATAGAAAAAAGCCCAGATTGGGAAGGCTGTGCAGTTCCCACCCCCCTGAGGGCTGTGTGTTTCTGACCCTAGCAGTCTGAGTGTTTATGAGTTTCAGGGTTTTGTTCATAGACTTATTATGGGATAAAAAAAATCAGAAGAAGGGATTGGAGAAGAAGCCAAAACTTGCAACTTCCTCCTCCCAACTTGAAACTTTCTCCTCTCAACTTCAATTCCCTCCTAGGATCCACCCTGCCATCCTTTACCCAGCTCCCAAACTCACCCACAGCCAGGCTGTGTGGCCCCAAACCCCCGTGGGCTGAATGGATGCCCTCTGGATGAGCCTCTCTGGCCATGCTGGGTGCCCCCCGAGCTGGCAGGCAGGAGGGGAGCTCTGAGGCAGCCTCCCAGGGATGTGTGCCAGCTGCTGGCCCCCGTTCAGCCGGGGATGCGCAAGCTGCGGGTTCAGCGACTGCGGGTGCACAGGGCCGAGCTGCCCCTGCCTGGGCCGGTCCCCATTGGTCCCAGCCCAACCTCTCCCCCTGCAGGCTCTCCTTCCCTCTGCTCCTGCCCGTGCCAGGGCACTGTGGGCACCTGGGGCAGGAGGGCACTGCTGGAGAGCAGACACTGCGAGGGTAAGCAGCGCAGCAAAGTGAACGTGTGACTGTGGGTATATAAAGGAAATGCACTCAGCTGCTGAGGGGTGAAGGATCACCACAGCCAGGACGAGGGAAGCAGCAGCACAAGGCAGCCAGCGAGGCTGAGAGAGCAAACCCAGCTGTGCCCTGGGTCACCCCGATGGATGGAGGTGACAGGACACACCCAAGTTTGCATTCCCATTGCCACCTCCTGCCCCAGCCTGGCCCCGCTCCCAGGGACAGACAGAGCAGGGAACCAGGGGCTGTGGAGGGAAGACATCCACCTCTCTCTGCGTTTTTTCCTTGTGAGGCTCAGTTTCCAGAGGGAATTCACTGTGGGAATTCACTGTGCCAAATGTGCAGGCAGCTCCGAGGCACAACAACAAACAGCCATGGCAACCAAACCTGCAAAATGGTCAGAATCCCACAGGGGAACTGCAGGTTTAGGTTGGGGCACAATTAGGCTCATCCTGAAGGAAAAAAAACACAGCCTTAAAATCTTTTCACTTCCTCAGACTTCAACACATGAAGAGCTGCTTAAATAGCTTGGAGGCCTCCAGAATCTGGTAGCAATTATTATTTTTAGTTAGAGCTTTGGGTTAAATAAGCTTCTTTTAACTCATGTGTTTTATTTAGGATAAATTCCCAGCTCTCACCTGGCCATATAGAATCATGAAAAGTTTGGGTTGGAAGGGAACTTAAAGATCATCTCGTTTCACCTCCTGCCATTCAGTACGGTGTAGAAAACAAAATAAAAGAAAAGAAGTGATTATTATACATGTCTTTCATGGCCCCAGCTGAAGCTCTGCCACACAGGCCCCTTGTGTCCAGGTACGGTTCTCCAAACAGCTGGATTTGGCATTTTTCTAGGCAAAACACTCCCTCAAGATTTGCTGCTAAAAATAAACAGGATCATAAACTTTTACAACCACCCCCATAGTACTAAATTTGACACCTCAAGCAAGTAGGATGCTGGAAGTGCTCAGTGTTTTGTACCATGATGAGGGAGCAGCACAACCCTTGAAAAGCACTTTCTGTGTTACCCTTTCAGCTGTATACCCAAAACAATAGCATAAGTATTAACTATGGCCAATTCCAACAGCTACTGAATAAATTTTAAAAATGCTTCAAAAGTTGGTAAGCCCCCAACTTTGCAAACAGCGAGGAAAGAATTCAAGTGAATCAAAGTCCAAAACCAGAGACGAAATATTTACTTATTTCAAGTAAATATTTCACCACTTTGGCTGTGAAGGCCAGGCCGTGACGAGATTGCTACGAGGGCTGCGATAGATGACTAATGCCATGGCTGACTCTCACAACTCAAATGCAAATATCATGTATATTTGTTAGGAGAAGTTTTATAGATTTATAGTTATGTTTTACCGCCCTTGTGTTGTTATCAGGGTGGCCTGGGTTTGCGACATTTGGGAGGGTGGCACTGTTGCTGTGACAAGAGCTGGCCTCCAATTGAGATTGAAGGAAATGATCTCCACCACTGGACAGGGAAGGAGGAGTCGGTGGGCAGAGCTTTGGGAGGGGCCAAAGGGTTCAAAGCACATGGCGGGGAAAAAATCCTTTGCTCCAGCTCTGT